AGAACAAATTGCTTGTGGGTTCATGACTTTGTTGGTTACAGGATACCTAATAACATAAACATCGCACGCACACACACACAGAGAACAGATTGCTTGTTCACGACTTTGTTGGTTACAGGATACCTAATAACATAAACATCGCACAAACACACATAACGTGAACAAATATCATTGATATTGAAAATAAGCCCACCAATTATTATTGGAGTCCTTTCTATATTTTACACAAAACAAGTAACTTCAACTTCAAACTATCCAAACTTTATGATATCGTTTGTTTGTTGTTAAGCGCAAAGATGCGTAAGAGATTACCTGTGCTGTGCCAAGCGCAAGGATCGAACCCCGAATTTTGGCGATGTCAGTGGGATTGCGAATGAAAATATCGCTGACAGCGAGGACAACCATCTAATCATTAAGAGTAAGAACAATACATTAAATTAAATCTTTGTTCTTTATTTGATCTTCCAGTTTAGGTTCAATTTTGGACAAATATATACAAGTTCTAAAAATAATTGTTTGTTTGTTTGATGTTAAGCACAAAACTGCACTTTGGGCTTTTTGTGTTCCATCAAGGGTATTGATTGTTTGTTTTTTGAATTTCGCGCAAAGCTACACGAGGGCTATCTGCGCTAGCCGTCCCTAATTTAGCAGTTTAAGACTAGAGGGAAGGCAGCTAGTCATCACCACCCACCGCCAACTCTTGGGCTACTCTTTTACTAACGAATAGTGGGATTGACCGTCACGTTGTAACGCCCCCACGGCTGAAAGGGCGAGTATGTTTGGTGTGACGGGGATTCGAACCCGCGACCCTCAGATTGCGAGTCGAGTGCCCTAGCCACCTGGCCATGCCGGGCCCCAAGGGTATTGAAACTCCTTATAAGCCCTCAGACTTACCGCAGTGCCACTAGGAGGCTTTTGGTGTTCACATCTTCTGATTTTGCGAAGATTTTAGATTTTAGACCGATACTTTATCATTACTATTTTCACTAGAATATTGTTATGAAAGAGTCAGCCCTCTTTGTGTTCTAAACTTGTGTTCCACAAACGACACATGTTTAATAAATGCACTTAGGTACTGATCTATACCTCATATAATATACTTTCTTATCAAGATCTACCATAGAGATAATGTTTGATATTGTATTAATGTATGTTTTGTCTTCTATATTTGGTATTCTCAAGTGTTCTGATGTCCTAAAGCTATATCAATAGAAACTGATTTAACTAAAGGTTCGACAGAATATGTATTGTAGATTTCGATTGAGTTCTGATCTATATGAATTGAGGAACAAAGCTAGGTGGAAGTTTGTTTGTTTTGTTTGTTTTTTAATTATGCACAAAGCTACATAAAGGCTATCTGTGCTCTGCCCACCACGGGTATCGAAACCCGGTTTCTAGCGTTGTAAGTCCGCAGACATACCACTGTGCCACTGGGGGGCGTAGAAGTTTGCAGTTTAAATAAAAAATAAATGACTATATACATGTTGAATAGGGTAAAGTATCCTAGAGCTCATTTTTTTACCTACGTTACCTGGTCATCCTATTAATAAAAATCGGGAAGACAGACAGACCTGGGAATTTTAAATCTCAATATGACTGGTGCTACTCGAAAACACGTTAACACAAGTCAAAAGAATTCTCCTTCTGTGGGAAAGTTCAGAAACACCACAGATGAGAAAGATGGTCGCTGTGTAACTTGTACTGAATAAGATCACCTTCTTTTGAAGGCATACCAGACGCTCAGCGCGTGTGACAAAAACGTGAAATAACTAGAATTTTGTTAAAATGGTGAAAAAAGAAATGTTCACCATTTTAAACTAACAGGAAAAGTGACACCTTCTCAGTTTCACATAATAAACAGATAAAAAGGTATGGTATAAGGTAAGGTGCTGTAATAAGAATGGTTCATGATTAAATTTCTTATTTGTGCCACCCACAGTTACCCGCCGTACTTCTATAAACGTTCATATATGTAGGTAAAGGTTACCCGCCGTACTTCTGTAAACGTTCATATATGTAGGTAAAAGTTACCCGCCGTACTTCTATAAACGTTCATATATATGTAGGTAAAGGTTACCCGCCGTACTTCTAAAGTACGGCGGGTAACCTTTACCTAGATATATGAACGTTTATAGAAGTACGGCGGGTAACTTTACCTACATATATGAACGTTTATAGAAGTACGGCGGGTAACTTTTACCTAGATATATGAACGTTTATAGAAGTACGGAGGGTAACTTTTACCTATATATATGAACATTCCATATATGAACGTTTATAGAAGTACGGCGGGTAACCTTTACCTACATATATATGAACGTTTATAGAAGTACGGCGGGTAACCTTTAACGAAGTACGGCGGGTAACTTTTACCTATATAAACGTTCATATATCTAGGTAAAAGTTACCCGCCGTACTTCTATAAATGTCTGTAAGATTTGCTCACCTAACATACGTAGGTGAATACAAAATTACTTACTAAATTTCCTTTTACAAATTCGCACATTATTCACAAAAGAACTTCTCGTGAGTTCGAAAATGCTTACTAAATACCTTTATATAAATGCACAAGTTACTTACCAAAATATTTGTGCAGGTTCGAAAATCGCTTACCAAATGCCCTTATACATGTGTACAAATTACTGACAAAATAACCTTATTTGGGTTCGAAAATTACTCACTAAATACCCGTATGTACTCGCAAAAATACTCTCTAGTCAACCGTAAGTAGTTGCAGGAATTACTAACCTAACTAAACGTCTTCAAATACTGTGCAAATTTTACTCACCAGACGTCCATAAACAGGTGCAAAAATAAATCCCACTAATTCATAAACCGAAAACACCATGCCGTATTCTGTTGAACTTGCGCCCTTCTTTTCAGCCTAAAGATAAAAATGTATATATAAATAATTATTAACATTACCTGACTGCTTAAATCGTGAAGGAAGAGTATACTAAAAGATCGTTTGGTTTGATGGAACTTAAAAAATTATCTCAAGTTTCATAATATTATGCACACTCTATATTCTGATGGTAAACAGATTTCACATGGAACTACAACACAATGTTGACCGTATGTTGAAAAAATAAATTATTATAACTCACCTCGAAAAACAAAACAATAAAGAGTAATATATTTCGATTTCATCTGAAGAAGGCACTACCTAACTCTGAGTTATTTCCATTTGGTCTGAAGAAGGTATTATCTAACTCCGAGCTATTTCCATTTGGTCTGAAGAAGGCACTACCTAACTCTGAGTTGTTTCCATTTGGTCTGAAGAAGGCATTATCTAACTCTGAGCTATTTCCATTTGATATGAAGTAGGCACTATCTAACTCTGAGCTATTTCAATTTGATATGAAGAAGGC